ATAAATTACAGAATTTTTGTGCAAAACTTTTAAAATTTTTATTCTCTGATTCCTCTTCAGTCCATTATGGTGTTATTGATTACTATTATCTGTAATAGCATAAAGATGTAAACACTTATTTGTTCACAGCTTTATACATAACATCTCAGAGAAGGCTGTTAGGTTTGTGACATTAAAAACTGAAACCAGAAAAGAACAAAAGAGCAAAACCAGAAGAAAACTATAGTGAATTACAGTATGAAATCTATTTACACACATTAATCTATACAACATCATAATCTGTACATTTTGTAAAAAATAATCACATTCATTTACATAATCTTTATTTTTTACCATACTTGACAGATACAAAGTTATAACAAAGATGACAAAAGAGAAATCTGAAGTAATACTCATACTAATGTGCCAGGACAAAAAAACCTGCAGGTTTTTCCATAAACTTATTACAGTGCTTTGGGAAATAGAGGGGTTTGGGACATTTCAGTCACTTTTTTAGCTGACAATGCCTGATTTAGATTTAACTACAACCTGCTATCATTGGGCAGAGCCAGATTCAACACAGAGTGGCTAAACCATCTCATAGAATGCTCCTTTTAAATGTTGTCCTGATGTACTCTTGTAACATACATGTTAGAACACTTCATAATTTTATTTTTTTCAGCAACAGAATAGCACTGGACCCTAACTTCTGCATTTGGTCATGTCAGGGTAGTACTGGCAGCCCACTGCTGATATAGGCACTCATGGTAACACGAAGGTACTCCTGTTGGTAAAGGTATTTTCTGTATCACTATGCACAGACAATAATTGTTCAGATGATGACCCTTATACACATAGCAGCTTTGTTTGTAGGTTACTTTCCTGTTCTTTCTTTTTGTTAGACATATTTAGGGCTTGATTTTCCCTTATGTCTGAAAAAAATCTGTATAGACTGGATCTGGACTTTATCCCAAATCACTTTGATGAACTGGGCAAATTCACAGTTAACAGGAGATGATTTTTTGAAAAATAGAGGACAAATGATGCAGATGATTCATCTTAGTCTTTGTACATGGACTGTGTGACACATGCACCTGGCAATGCCTTATTTCACCACTCTGCCCCAGACAGAATCTCTGGTTTGCTGAGGGTCTATGCCTGTTGCTTTCCCCTTTGGCATGTTAAAGGCAAAGGGCTTCAAGCCTAGGGTGAATCAGGACATGAAGCAGATACTACAGAGTGGGGTAGGATGGCTCCAACTTGACTGTTGAAGGTTTTTTGTAATGCTATTTGCCACCAGTTATCAATTGCTGCTACAGTACAGTCCCATCACAAGCTTAGATTGGGTATTCCTCAGCTGGCTACTTGCAGTACAACATAAAGAAAATTTTGGGTACTGTAAAGCACTTCTTTTAGCATATGGCTCCCCCTACAAAAGGCAAAAAGCCAAACACCTAACCCAAAACAACAAACATTGTCTGGAAGCTGAGGCCAGGGAAATCAAAATGAGATATAAGCCTGTGGGCTTTGTCATGGAAGGCAGGGACACCTGACCAACTGAACTGCAGGATCCTCCACTGCCTCACCTTTGGAATTACACTGCACTTTTCTTGGAGAATAAGTTTGGCCAGCCCAAGGTAATTGCCTTAAAAAGGGGTATCTGTGTAATATTAACATAAATAACCCAGAAGGATTAATGATCTCTTCTGGAGGGATACATCTTACCTGATTCTATCTATGGAGTGAGAAATCTAAGTACACACCAGGCTCGTTCTATAGTAAGTACAGGGAAAACTAGGTGCAGCTTTCCTGCCTCAGATGCCCAGCTGAACATAGAAGGAGTCATCTTCAGCTGGTGCCTCTTTCTCTACTATGACTGTGGAAAGCCCTGTAAAAGTGTCTTTAGCACAAACATTCAGCTTTCAGACACCAAAACCAGGGCAGATGAATTTCACCTGAGTTTATCAAGCACCCAGCTGAAATTGACTGCAGAGGAAAATTTAAGTCAGTGTCCCTATATATATATACATATATTTAAATTGTAATTTGTAAGTGGAGAGCAAGGTGTCACTGTGTTCCTCAGGCAGCAGCAGCAGGTAATGGTGACAGAAATCACTCAGAATTAATGGTGCCTCCAGGAGAGGTAAAGCACAGCAGTTAACCATGGTACTGGGAGTGAACTGTATTACCATTCTTATTCAGTAAGTACAAGCTGTGCTACTGGTTTTTCAGTGTGGATGCACAAAAAAAAACGTTTCCTGCCTTGAAGACTTTACAACTCAGTTTGGACCCTGATGCAACCAAAGGTAAAAAGGCAGTAAAGGAATGAAGAAAGGGAGGTGTAGGGAAAGGTTACACTTGTCTTGCAGCCTCTACTTCCTCCCCTGATGCTGCTAGGACTGAGTGAGAACTAGGATTAGGGATGACAGAAGGCCAAATGATGTTTCATTGCATTGTACTTTTGACTCTTTAGAGTCACCACAGTACAGAGCAAGAGCATTTAATCCCATACTCCTCAGCAAAATGCAATGAAAGACAAAGCCATGAGAAGCTGCCTTGTTCTGGGTGTTGTAAAGATGAAAACCACTGATTGAGTTCTAGATTTGTCGAATTTTCTGCATCTTTTACAGACATTTTTTATTATGTGTATCTGTTCATGAAAAGGCAGCTGAAAGTCAAACTGGTGTATAGGGTTGAAGCTGTAATTTTGCATAAAATTATTTGGAAATCAGAAATTTTCTGGGAGTAAAAATGAGTGAGCACAGTGCCCTCTGTGTCTTTACTGCTTGCACAAAGCATTATCAAGTTAAACTGTCTCATAAAACAGTATTTAGATTATCTGCATTTACATTATTAATAGAATGATGAGGTTCTCCAAAGTACTGTACTTTTGACTGGGTTGAAAGAAATATATACAGCACCTCTCTCTCCTGTGTGCCATTCTTTCCATGTCCACATTGTCCTTTACAACTTAGTGATACCCCTATGTTCTCCCACTGCAAATTTCTCATGTGGCATTTCACCCTACATGAAAAGTAGAATCAAGCCCAAACGCATCTGCACCCTGTTAAAGGAAACAATGCTGGTTTGTTGCAGGATAAAATGTATTTTCTTATTTGGGCTTTTCTTTTTTATAACCCAGAAATAATTAAAATGCAGATTTTTTCCATGCTCACCTAATTAGAACAAAGACAGTTTTCTCTAAGATACAATGTGTTATAAACACATATAATTGGTGATGCCTCATGCAGAGCAGACTGATGGAAATGACTGCCTGAAACATCTATTTCTGTGCTATCATTCTGTCTGTGTGTCAATTCGCTCACATAACCTCATTTGAGCAAAAAGATGAGCACACTTGAATGCTTGTCACATGTGCCTTTCTACCCTAGAAATTAAGGGGAAAAAAGAACATCCTGCACATCACATCTCAGGGAACTGAGCAGTCCCAATTCCACTGCAGACAAAGAATCCTAATGTGTGCAGATGTGTTTAATTTAAGTGTAAGAGCAGCTCCCAAAGCTCCAGTGGGTCTTCATGTATTTGCAGTTAAGAGCTTGTGATAAGTTTTTCCAGAGATCCAGGAAACATACTAAATTTTAGCAGCTTCCTTAGTCTAAAGTATTTGGGAATACATTTAGTTTAAATACATGTGTAAGGGGACATCTTTAGACCCCATGGGAATGTCCTTGGTCAGCCTACTTTCATCCAGAATCTCATAATTACTTTGCCAAGAAGAAAACATTATGAATGGTCTGGAAGTGACCAATAGCTTCTTTAAATTCAATTTTTGTAAGTAACAATTCTTTGAGTGGTTGTTATTTAACTCAAATGATACCTACTGGTGTCATGTAACATTCACCACGTTCTGCAGCAGTGAACCATGGGGCCCTTTCTATCTTTGGTCTGACAAAACTTTTTGTGATTCCATGACAATCCCTTTAAAACAAATTGTGTTTGACTGATAAATAGCTGGATTAAATCAGACCAAGAATTGTAGGGACACTTTGACAGCTGCTCAGTACTTTCCCCGTGCTGGTAATATTTTCAAGAATGCACAAATATGCCTGCCAAGAGATGCCCTTGCTGCTGTTCTTCCCTTTATCTGACAAGAGTAGGGACCTTGGATACTGCTGGCTCCATAAAATCTGTCTGAAATATGAGGGCAATGGTTTGTACGGAGGTACTCATGCAAATACATATTATTCCAACTTGTAATGTAGGGTGGACATGGTTAAATGTTGGCATGGGAAGAAAATATCACTGCATTTATTTCTTTGTTGTTTTATACAACATTTGAAATGTTGTATACTTTTTACTAAGACTGTCGGTTCTCCGCCTATTTTTTTTGTAAATGTGGCAACATAAGAGGCTTGGCATTGTTGAAAATGCCTTCTTTATGCCTTTTATGGTAAGTTTTAGGGATTCTGTTTGGTTTTTTTTTTTCCTGGGGATCATATATTTTAAATAATTTCAGATATATATGGAACTGAATAAATGTAAAAGAATTTACATTTTCCATTAAATGTGAGTTGTAACTTCACTGCACTATTCTTTGTCTTTTGTAGTCAAATATGTAGTTCCGAGAGACAGATTTCAATGATAATATTGCAAAAAATGGTATTTTCAGTGTGTAATGTGCTATCCAAGACTGTTTATCCTACGCCAGGCTGCTTTACAAAATAAAAGATACCTCTTCAGAAAATTCCTTCACAAAAGTCACAAATCTGACTTTAAACAGGGGAGAACAACTGAGAACTACTAAATTCAAAAGTAATATAGCAGTTCTTTCTGTATGGACTGTAAAGGTGGCCCTACACTCTGCACTCAAATATTAAACTAGGCACTTTTGAAAGTAACAACAGGATTGAAATCAAACTCTGTAGAAAGTTATCTCTGAAATTTATACCATTAACCTAGAAGTACTACCTTTTTCCTCCTGTGTAAATCATGTTCATGATTTCCTGGATTAGCACACTGAATTCCCAGTGTGGTTAATTATAGTCTTAGATTTTTTTTTAAATTTTATTTTCCATAATTAGAAAATAATTTCCTAACCCTTAAGGCAATGTTTCCTTAAGTATAAATAAAGTGTAAGAAATTTTCTTGCTTCCCATCTTAACCCTTACTTGTGCCAAAGAAGTCTGCATTGAGCAGGATACCATGCATGGATCTTGTAGCCATTTTGGAAGGTAAAGGGACCTTTATGGAAAATGAGTTTTTGAATTGTTACAGACAATAAACTGCAAGAGAACATCAGAATTAATATGAATACCATTTGAACAAAACAGAAAGCATCCATGGGGCAGGCTTCTCTGCTATTAACAGCTTGGCTGCACAAACCAATTCCCCAAATACCAACATGTAGAAAAGCAAAGCACTAAACTGTACATTTTATAAAATACCACATCAAGCTGTATAATGAATGATATATCCACAGTTTTTCGTGTTTGGGGGGACCTAGCTCATTTATATCATGGTGGTCTCTGTCTGCATAAATGAATGAGCTCTTGAATTCCGGTGGAGCTGGGAAACACTTTCTGATCCATTTCTAGAAATGGACGAGCTGTGGAGTCTGTAATCTCTGCCCGCTGTCTGCTTCCAGCACAAACTCCGCCACTTTCTTTTCAGCTCCCCCTGCACCTGTGTTTAAAAGAAAATGCACAATATGAGCTGAAAATTTTCTATTATGTGAGGAACTTTTCCACACAGTCTATTGGCTGTCACATGGGGATCTCTAGGAACAGAATCACTGAATGGTTTGGATTTTTACAAATTTTTAAAGATTATGTAGTTCTACCCCCTTCTGTGGGCAGAGAGACACCTTCCACCAGACTCAGAGCACCATCCAGCCTGGCCTTGGAACAGGGCTTCCACAGCTTCTCTGAGCACCTGCTACAGTGTCTCCACTACCCTCACAGAAAAGATATTTTCCTTCCTAAATCTACCACATATCAGTTTAAAAGTGTCCTGACACTACAGACCCTGCTAAGAAGTTTCATGCCATCTTCCTCATGACCCCCCATTTATGTACTCTCAGGTGCTATGAAGTCTCCCCATATTCTTCTTTCCAGGCTGAGCAATCCCTACTCCTCCAGCCTGTCTTCATAGGAGAGGTGTTCCAGCCTTCTGGTAATTTTTGCAGCTTTCTGGTAAATTTTACAGACCAGGTCCATGTCTTGTAGTGGTGTCCATTCACCTCTCTTGACCTGCTGGCCTTGCTTCTTTTAATGCTGAATAGAGTTGTCTTTTTGGGCTACAAGTTGTCAGCTCATCCCTCAGTCAGCACTGCACAGACCCAGGTGCCAGACCTTGAACTCTGCCCTGTTGAACCTCTTGAGGTTCTGTCCCCCCTCTCCACAAGCCTGTCATGGTCCCTCTGGACGGCATCCCTTCCCTCTGGATGGCATCCCTTCCCTCTAGAGTATCCAGTCAGTTTTTACAAAGGTCACATAACTGAAGCAAAGGCTGTCTACCCTGTCTGTGAAGAGATGCCCTAAGGTCACTTCCAAAATTTTGTATCATTTGTGCTGCAACATTAATTTTGGCATCGAGCTATTTATCTCATGTACTTAAGGAATAGAATCAAATGATTAGCCCAAAATCAGTCATCTCCTGAGTATCAAAGACCAGAACAACACTCAGGAGAGCTGTATGTTAATTGTCTGTGCAGGCAGGCGTCTTCTTCACACAGATTCCTTTTGTCAGACACTGCATGGTGGCTGAAATCAAAAGGAATTCCTTGCATCTTTCTCAGTTGAGACTATGAAAACTACGACATGCTGAGCACTTCTGAAAATCTGTTGCTGTTCTGAGGTTTAGATACTGACAGAACATCACCCCTAAATACTTACTAAATGGCATTTCAAGTTCTGGATAAATTGTCAGGCTTGCTGCACTGCACTCACACTTTGTTTCTAACAGAGCTAGATTAGATCACAAAAAATAGACACTAACACCTCAGTTTGAAAGGAATTAGATTTTAAACAGCTCTTAAAGCTCTTCACCCAACTACACTGATTTCTCCTGTTGTATAAAAACTGTTGCAAATATATTCCACTAATAGGAATGCAGACATCTTCTAAAAGAGTTTCGTGTATCAAAACAGAATTACAGGGGCACTTACACATTTACTAAAACCAATATTTAACATTCTCAGTAGGAAAGGTGAGACTTACTTCACTGTTCAAAAAACAATACAGGACTGCAACAATCAACCCCTGGAAAGAGACAATATTCCTTAGTTAGTAGGCAGCACTCACTTGGGTCAATAAAACTTCTTTTGAATAAAAAAACTTAAAATTTACCTGAAAAGATCCCAAACACAACTCAAAGATTATTTTATAATTGTTGGAACTGCGGTCAGGAAATAGAGCAAACACAGTGTAGTGAACTCCAAATAATGGAATAAGCAACAAAGTGGATTTTGCAAGTCTCCTGGGAAAAGGAAAGACAAAAAGCTGAAATTTAATGATGAGCTCTTGTTTTACTGAGATTAATGTGTAACTGTATGGTTATTCTGTACATTGCACATGCACAGTATGCAAACAGTACCTAGGAAATGTAATCCAGAATCGTCTCACTCGTGAGATTTTCATGAGCTCCAAATACTAAAACTTCATAGCTTTACTGATGGTATTAAGCATACACCATAAAATAATTTTCAATGTTGTCAACTACAGAACACAATTTAGCAGAAGACACTACTAAAGTTAAGGAAAGAGAGCTTTGAATTTCTAAGCAGAACTGCTCTGACAAACAGCTCGTGAAACAACTGGAATGATAAATTGCTACTTTTACCTTATCTGACATTTATTTCACTCTAATAACATCAGTTCTGTATATCATACAGGGCAAGTCATGCACAATATTGGATGCCTGGTATCAAATAAAATTTGAGAAGTTATAATGCTGAGTTCCATAACTCATCAATGTCTTGATTCAACAATGAAAGGATGCTGTTGTGAATTCACCTATTTTAACACAGAAGTTAAGGTGTTTCAACAAATTTTATTTTTTCAGTCAGTCTTCATGGCCTTGCTTTGTTCATAATGACCCAGGGGCTGCATCTGTTTATGTGGAAATAATAATTTCTGACAGCAAAGCTTCTCAAGAACAGTAAACCCCTCACATCTAAAGATGATACCAGAAGCAGATAGGAAAAGTAGGGATTCTTTAATAGAAGAAATTCATTTACAACTGGAGGAGATGACACTGGCAGCAAATTTCCTGATTTCCCAAGTGAAATGGAAAACTGATTTTACTTGAAATTAGACTTATCCACTACAAAAGTAAAATGAACAACAAAAAGGATGGAACCAGATACAAGCAGGTTCTGAGGAAGGGAAGAAAAATGGTGACCTGCGTGAGTAGTATTCATTTTAGATTCATATTTCACTTTCACTCCATGCTTGGCTTTGTAATTTTTGTCTACTTGATGCTACTTTCTCTATACTGCACTTACATTTTAGTAAAAGAGACAAACAAAAAAGCCTTATTCTTCTCTGCATTTTAGAAAGTGCATTTGCAATTTTATACCAAGCCTCCCAGATCTTTTAATGTGGTCTGTAAATGCAGTTTCTTGAGGTTAATCTATTTTCCCATGGGTATCAGCTAAAGACCAGAAATGCAAACTTAATCAGGCAATCAAATGCTAAAAGCAAAGAATTTACAGGGCTGAGTAAGGAAGGACAAGGTTGTTATTAATGTGAATATTTCATATTATAAAGTGCTACAGTAAATTGTAGAAAATTGTGAGACTGAAAGTAAGGGAATGCCTAATTTTCAAAAAGTAAATATCACATGGAAGCAAAGAAAACTTCATGTCACAAAAAGTAAACTTGAGGGGATTTCCTGCCTATAGGTTGGCCATTGTGCTACATAATAATGTGGCAACTGCACAACTTCATCTAGATTCAGTAAGCTCTCCCACATGTTTAGTTGAATTAGCAAATACAAAAACAGGACCCTTGTAGCTCTTTAAAACAATGTGCTTGTCAGTCCAGTTGTGTCAACTTTTCTGTGGCACATCAGAATTTTTCACTTTTTGCATCAAACATGTCACATTGTCCACAAAACATATAAGGTCCTGCTTCTCTTGGCTTTAACAATATTCTTGGAACAGGAATTCAGTATTTTTTAAATGAAGGAAAGTTGTTATCCAGGAGTACATTTTCAAAGGCCACTTGCAACAGCTTTGGATTTTCAGTGCTCATGTTAGGTTTTGTCACTGAAGTATCATATTGACACCCTGAACTGTCAGAGTCTGTGTCTGGGCTTTCAAATAAGACTTATTACAACAGAATCTTGATTGCAGGTAATTATATATCCAGCAGCTCTTATAATTAACAATAACAGGTATTGCAACCAAAGAATTCTAGCAATGCATTTGAATTGTGCCCCAATATCCCTTGATTTTAAAGCTGTGGAAACAAAGAGTCATTTTAGGATTTGATGTTCTAACCAAGACACAAAAGAAGAAAGTCTGAACAGAAATGAAGTTGATTTAAGTCAGAAACAACTGCTTTCCTCTAGAAAAGGAAACATTAAGTTTTAAAACATTTAAACATTAAACATTTAAACATTATATGTAATTTTTAAATTTTTGCTAACAATGTAAGTCCTTTCCATCTCTTAAAACATATTTAAGTATTTTTAAAATTAAAAAAAAAAGTTTTTAAGGATGTTGAGGGAAGATGTTTTGACTTTGAAATTTTTCTTATGTCCAAATGACACATATATATATCAAAAGAAATATATTGCTCTCCATATATTTTGTATCAACATATTCATTCATGGATTAAACTCAAATTCTAGAATAGCTTGTTGATCTTTCTGAAATTAAATATTTTTAAAATTTAATTTAGTTTTGATAAAAATATATTTATCTCCATTTCAGCATAGTTGTATTTATTAAACTGTATCTAAAAGTAGTTCCAAATTAAATATAATTACAGTAAGACAGCAGTTGTTGGTTTTCAGCAGATGAAATCTTAAGGAGATTATTTTGGTTCTGTCTATAATATCCAAAAGTATGACTCACTTGTACTGTGACTGGTCATTTCCTCCGACATCTGGAGATCTTAACTTCTGCAGCAAGATTCTTATAATGCTTATGAAAAGTATAAAATTCACCTGCAAAGAAAACAAATATAATGGTGATTTCTGAATTCTCCGCTCAGTATGCAGCACAAAGAAATGCTTGATAAGTCAGACAGGAGTCAAGTCAGCATGGGAGTCGTGCACCTCCCTCCAGAACCCCTCAGCTCTGCAGTGCCAAACCTGTTGTGTTCTGCAGCACCAGCAACCACTTCATGCCCACCAGTCCTGCTCTGGCTGGCAACAGTCTTCAAAAGCCCCAGTTTTCAGAAATATCCTCCTTCTACTACTTCAGCTGAGGACAGGTTTCCCAGCAGGATGGGACACTGGATGTGATTTTCTGCAACCAAGCACCGTCCTAAATTGTCATGTGGATTTGTAACTAGAAGCCCAGAGGCAGTTTTGACCCTCCCTTGCTCCTCACCTCAACTTTCAGTATTTTTTGTCTGCATTAGGGTTAGAGAAGATTGTTGCACAGCTGATTGTCTACTCCAATCAAGCACAAAAGGGGCCTCTCACAAGTATCTCACTGTCTTGGATATTGATGCTGACATTACGAATGAATCACAGAATAGCTGGGGCTGGAAGGGATCTCTGGAGATCATCTAGTCCATCTGAATCCCTGCAGCCTAATTCTCACAACAGCCTTCTAAGACAGTACAATAGCATTATTTTATTTTGTATTTTACTTCATGTTCTACTTTATAGGAAGGCACTTGCAGAAAAAAATCATTATGATCAGTAGCTAATCAGTCTAGAAAACTGAAGTATAAAACTCAGTATATCCTAAATCTCACTCCCATTGTTTCTTCTGCATTGACTTTCTGCTTCCTCTGGTCACCATCCCTTCTGGTGCAGGATTCTTTGGAGTGGTCTAGAAAGCTGCCCACTAAATACAGCATGTCCTTACTGAAGTAAGGGAACAGTTGGAATCCACACCTTCAGAGGAACAATGTATGCTAAAAACTGCAACTCCAAGCTGCATCAAAGGAACACATCTTAGAATAAATAAATCTAGAGAAAAATTATATCATGGTGAAAATGAGAAACTGGTTGTTTTAAACTAACCCCATCCTAAATCTGGATGTGAGGTACCTAACCAGGCATGCCTGTCTCACTGCTATGAATCTCTTTCTTCATGTATTGGTGGAAGTCTTCTTTCTACTAAAAATTTGGCTCTGAGCTTTCAAGTTCAATTAATTTCTCTGTCTTCTATAACACAGCCCATAGAATTTTGGATTCTAATAAATAAAACACGGTCATAGCAACTGCATGTCCTCCTGTTTTTAACATTTTGTTTGAAATGACAGGGATGAAATAAAATGAAATATATGCTTTTGCTGGACTTAACATACATTTTTTCAGAAAGATGATTACTTAGAGGCTTATCTATAGAGGTAACAGACAGAAATCTGTTATTGCAGATTTTATCTGCAAAATTAATGCAGCTGAGTACACACAGCAGGGGATATTAACTTGCCATATGCACTGGAGCCCGTGTTAGTGGACAAGGAGAGAATAGGGGTAACAGCACATTCATTTGGAACATCCAACTGAGTAACTCTGAAGTGTGTACAGCATGAAGTGTGAACGTCTGCCAAACGACTTCTCACAAGCCAAAATCCTCAGGAGGAAATGCCAGGGACGATTCTGACACACTGAATTAACTGAAGCCATTCCCACTGTGCAAAATGGTATCAGAACTTGCTCTCACGATACTGCTGGATAGATCAAACTCTGCTGCCTGACCAGTACTCCATTTGTTTAAATCACAACTCTCCTCCCAGTCTTCACTAAGATCCAGCTGCAGTTCAGCTCTGCCAATGTGCCCCGGGATAACTCCCACTTCCAGGTCTAGGACTGCTTTGGAGGAGCTTTCTGGCACATGAGGTCTCAGATGGCTGTTCAAACCGAGCATCCAGAGAACAGACTTTCCTGTAAACACCAGGTGGTTTGTTTTGCTTTTATCTTCCAACATATTTTCTTCACTCTAGATTGTTCCCCATTCTCAAGCTCCGTTGAGGTCCTTTGACCCTTCATGCTGTAGTTCGTTGCATGCACATTTCTTCATACCATAACACATCTTTGAGGCCTAACTTTTTGTCATTTTCACACATATGGCCAACTCTTCTTTTTCTTCAAACACCAGAATTCACTCTGATGGCGATGACAGAAATTTCTCCCAAAATGATTTTCAGCACGCACAGATTGAAAGGCAAGCCCAAGCATAATGCAAACTCCTGAAATCTTGTGTAACCTAATAACGCCCTAGATTTTCTGCCTACAATTTTAAAAATTAAACAAATATATCTAAAATAAATTAATTTATTCTCTATTTTCAGAAATGGACATATAACCACAGTATATTATGCCCAAAGTTAATTACACAATCATTACAGTGAACAGGAATATTATTACACTACTCCAGTAATTCTGATGAGTTCTAAACAGGAAGAGCCCTGTGAAACTTCTCAAATGGTATAATTTTGCAAATACTTCATGTCCAATATATATTTCAGTAGGCTACCAATTAAAGAAAGATATACACAGCCATACTTTTTTATGACTAATATCAGATTCTAAATTGCAGGACTATCTATTTACACACAAAATCAAATCTGCAGTTCATTGAAAAGTATAATTACATTTTTCCTTCCTCCAGCCTCATAAATAGGAGAGATGTTAAAGAAAGAACAACACACAAATAAAAGCAATTGCTCATTTAATAGGAGGCAGATAAATTTTGAAGGCAACAAATTTTAATGGCCTTGGCATCTGTTTAACATTTCTCCTGCAGCACAATTTCTTCTCATTAAAACAGAATTCATGCCTAACTGTAACTAGCAGTAAAGAATAATGGCTACATGCACTGCACAATGCTGAACAGATCTATAATTCATGCTTCAAATTTTTAGTTGTATAATAAGTTTTACTTACTATAATAGAAATTAAAATTGGTATTCGTATAACCCACCAGGGACCACCATGCTCATTTGTATCCCAGCAACTATAAAAAAAAAGAGGGAAAATCATGTTGACATTAATATCATCTGGCAAGCAAGACCTTTGAGGAGTAGTATTTCTTATAAACAAGTCAAAGCACACTAAAATAATGCCTGCTCTAGCTTAGAATTTGGCAGTCAGTCATTTCCTGCTATTAATTTTATTTCCTTTGTTTTAATATGCATAGTTGATTTCCCCACCAGGAGTACTGTGTCCAGTTGTGGAGTCCTCCACATTAGGAAGATGTAGATCTGTTAGAACAGGCCCAGAGGGGACCCCAAAGGTGATCAGAGGGCTGAAGTAGCTCTCCTACAAAGACAGGCTGAGAGCATCGGGGTTGCTCAGACTGGAGAATACAAGGCTCCATGGAGAAATCATTGTGACCTTTCAGCACTTAAAGGGGGCTTATAAAATAGAGAGAAAATGACATTTTGCCAGGGCATGTAGTGATAGGACAAGGGAGAATGGTTTAAAAATGAAAGAGACTTAGATGTTAGGAAAAAATTCTTTACTCATAAAGTCACAGAATCATTCATGTTGGAGAAGACCTCTGCGATCATTGAGTCCAACTTTTGACCAAGCACCACTAGAACATGGCACTGAGTGCCACATGCAGTCATTTCTTGAACACCTCCAGGAAAGCTGACTCCGCCACCCCTGTGGGCAGCCCATTCCAATGCTTTACAGCCCCTTCAGTGAAGAAATTCTTCCCAATGTCCAAACTGGGGATGAACCTCCCCTGGCACAGATTGAGGTAATTTCCTCTTGTCCTGTCATTGCTTGCCTGTGAAAAGAGACCAACCCCCACCTGGCTGCAAACCTCTGTGCAGGCAGCTGTGGGGAGTGATGAGGTCCCCCCGAGCCTCCTTTTCTTCAGACTAAACATTCCCAGCTCCCTCAGCTGCTCCTCACCAGACTTGTGCTTCAGACCCTTCACCAGCTCTGTTGTCCTTCACATTCCAGCACCTCAGTGTCTTTCCTGTCCAGAACTGGACACAGGTCTCAGGCTGTGGCCTCACCAGTGCATTACTCCGAGGGTGATGAGGCCCTGGCACAGGCTGCAGAGAAGATGTGGATGCCCCATCCCTGAAAGTGCTCAAGACTAGACTGGATGGGGCTCTGAGTACCCTGGTCTATAGTCTGGCATCACTGCCCATGGTAAGGAGGGCTGGAACTAAGTGATTTTGAAGATCCCTCGCAACCCAATCCATTCTAAGATTCTATGAAATCAGCTAAAACATCAAGCACCCTGGTCTGTACCATTAGATATCATGGGAGATGTTGACCTTAGTAGAAACCAAGCTTAGTTTTACCTCGTGCAAGGATACTTTTTCAGTGTGCACTTAACATTCACCTCTGGGTAGCAGGAAGATCTAAAGAAACTGACAGGTGCAATTGAAATTACACAATTTCTTGTGGGATATTTAGGTTATAGATGCCTGGAACTTGTTTGTGAAAATGTGAACTTGAAACTCTGTCTGAAAAATTAAATATTTAATTTTCACTCTGGGCTCAACACTTTTGATCCAAACACTCTAAGTGCTTTGAAAGGTTAGTCAGATTAAAGATTAATTACCCTTCAGACTTCCTCTGTAATCATAATGACAGAGGAAAAAGGAATTTGCCTTTGGTTTACATGTTAGAGATCTTGCAAAGAAAGCCTTGAAATTACACAGGACGTGATTTTTCAGTTTAATTACAAAATAAATTGAAAAATAATAGTTAGTTGGACAAAACAGGACTGTTCAAACTGTTTGTCCACTAGTTAGGAATTTTCTCTCATTCCTTGGGAGCAGCATGATCAAATCTGATCTTCCTACAAAATTCTTTTCTCAGATCCCCTTTTCATGCCAGGAGCCAGGCTTAGCTCTAGTTAGCTTTAGCTTTACCTGGCTACATGCATCTGACATACTCTTACATCACTTCACTTCTGGGAATGCAATTTTTATGTACCCAAAGTAACCTACACTTCAATCTTCTGAGCTGCTAGTTAGCAAATGAGGATGCCCAGTGCCTTCCTGCACGTGTGGCAGCACTGAACCCAAGGACCCCACTGCTGTTTTAAACACTGACTTCCCAAGCAGATAGCTCTAGATGTGGGTGGAAGGAGTAAAGGTATATCCTATCTCTGCTCTCCTGCCCTCTGAGTTTTTCAAATAAACATCGAGCACAAACAACAGCTGAACAGCTCCCAAATACCTGTTCTTTTATTGCCATCTTGGAAATTTGAGTTCTGTGCTTGTCCCCTGCAGAGCAGCAAACCACCTTTGTGGGAGTGACCCCACATCCAAGGCAAGGACTGCACAGGCATGGGGGGGCTTCAAGCTTTCCCTCTCACACACACTCACCCAGTGTCCTCTAGAATGATCCGTGTCACTGTCCACGTAATAATGAATATCGTAGGAATTCCTGAAAAATGACAAAGAGCTTTAGACAATGATCACAAAAATGCAAGGCCACGGGAGAAAAAAAAAATAATAATAAAAAAAAATCAGCCTTCCAGTGAGCAGTTATTCCCTAAAAACACAGCATATAGTAAAGTTCAGTGAATGGAAGGAGAGGCCTGTCTGATGAGCTACATGATTACATGTATACATCAGCAATGTAGTACAAATACAAAGACTGCAGGGAAGTGAATTTATTTCTCAAAAATTGTAGTCATAATTACTAGTACACAAAAAAAATGCCTTTCTTAGGTGTCTTGCAAGGTGTCAGAGTGACTTACAGGGAAATAGATACAAGTTATGCATTCCCAATGCACCTCCAAGGACTGCAATATAAAATACGAGCATAAATCATTTCATAAGGAACCTTGTCCACACACTGGTTTATTCCCATTTCCCAGCAACACCCAATTGTTTTATGACAACCTATTACTGGAAGTATTAAAGTGTTCCTTATAAATACCATCATACTTTCTGTAAATGAAAGGAATATATGTATTTAAAACCAGACGGACAGTATTATTGGGCTTTTCAAAAAGGAAAATTGCATAGTATAGCTCATGGCTGTGCAGCTAAACTTTAATTTTCCTCACAAATTAGGATGCCTGAATCATATATTTTGCAGTGGCAGTCCTTGCACCAGGGCAATCCCTGGGTGTGGTGCAGATGGCACAGGTGAAAGCCATGCCAGGGATCAGGCCAGCAGTGATGCTGCAGCAGTTTTGTGCCTGCTCTTTCCCCTGCTACAGCAGTTGTAACCTGTGCTGGAGGTGAGCTGAGGAACTTGTGAGTCTGAGGAATCACCACCAGAGACAGCTCAGCTACCTTAGTGTGAAATACTGAACCTGGTCAACACACACACATGGAAAAAAGAGCATTACTGGAAAGATGTGGAAGTTCTTACCCCATCCTATCAGCAGGTAGATTGTGAAGTGTCTGTTGGGGGAGAATATTAGCACAAGGAGGATGTGGAGGTAAAGTCCCTCCACTAAGAGCCAGTAAAAGTTTGCCATAACACCATACTGAAAAAACACCAGAATTGCCTTGCAGCCCACCTGAAATATGAGAAGAAGGATCAAGTTTGTTGCAGGAAGGATGCCATGTTGTTTTTATTACAGACTAAAATCTCAGCTGTCTTTGTAATATCAATAAACCAGGTCCAGTAGAAATTTTTATCTTTAGTCAAGTAAATGTGACATTGTAAATTACTGTTACTGTATATATGAAAAGAAAGTGAATTATTACATTTATTTGTAATTGGCTCTCATTGCAAATTCACTCAGAAATTTTGAAAAACTCAGAGGATAAATATAGAAAAATATGGTGGTTATCAATAAATGCACATTTTGCAACAGTTTGTTAATGAATGGCTATAAAATTAAATTATCACCTACTAGGAGTCTAATAAATGTATTGAAACCTCACACGGCTTCCTAACACAGTAAAAATTAACAAAGAAACTACTTTATGATTTTTTCAAAGCTAAATGTGAAACTGAGTGAAAAATAAAAGTTTATGTGATGACTAAGTAGACTTAGAAGAAAAAGTAGGCTGGACTGTTAAAAATAATGTTTTCCCTTTAGAAAATGTTTTAGAGTTTCTTAGTTAACTAAACACATAGACATGTATCAAAAAATGATACTTATAGCATGTGTGGTGCTCTGCAGAATTAATTTTCAAATGTCTGTGCTGCTGATGTTCCACGGTGCTGGCTGCTGCTACTTTGGTACTTCCCAGCAGGAATCTGGGATGTGAGAATTGAATATGAAAATGTTCATATGGACTGAGAATGTGCTGAGAAATGTGATGATATGGTGAATATAACAGACTAAACAAACTGAGCCAAATAAATCTCTAGTTTCTGCTAGCTTTATTTAATTTTAAATACCCTTCATACCTGCATTTTTCTGTTAAAATTCCAAGTACACCAGATACCTAAGCAGGTAAATTACTCACTTTCAGTTATTGATTCCTCTCTCTAAATATAGATGTGTATTAAGAATAGAGATGCAGTCACCAGCTGCTAAGCCAGAAGGGCACAGACCTCCTCAGGGATACTTCTTTGTATCCATCAGTTCCCTATGATGTACCAGATACCTCACTGCATCCCAAGTAACATTCATGCCTGTGTAGATGCATATACAGAAAACTAAGGAAGAGTCCAAAGGCTAGAATTCATTTCACCTTATTTTAGCTGCCTACAACCAAAGTTTGAAAGCTGGCTAACTTTGGTAAGACTGGTCTTACCTCTGGACTTTGGAATATCCACTGCAGATTAGCAGTGGGCCAGAAAAATGTAAGATGGATAAAATTAAGCCTTTCAAAATGTGTGAACAGTTGAACTTTTCAAGCAAGTTTAAATTTACTTTTATGCTTAGGACTCCTTACAATCAGATCAGCAGTGACAATTTTGTAATCCTTTATAAATTCCAGTATTCCCTTGTATTACATTCTCAGTTTACATACTAGAACCCTGCATCAAAGTATTTTCTCTTCCTCCTATATCATCTCTATTTGCAGATGCTGAATGGTGAAGGTATCTATCAGTAAAGTTAGCCAAAATTAATTCTCCATGTAATCCAGAGCCAGGACCTACTTATAGAGCCTTATGAACTGTGTGTTTTAGACCTCTGTGAGTGCAACAGAACTGTGGAACATCACACACATGTGACAAATGGGGCAAACCCTGTGTGCTGTTACGTGTGAAAGGCAGCACCAAGCCAATGCAAGACAGAACAGCCTTGTCAGGCTGGTGCCAGATCATCCTACATACAATGCAACAGAAATTAGCCAGCAGTCCACAAAATCTTACATATTTAAATAGGAAAGTATAAGGCTTTGTAGCCAAGAATAGCCAAGAATAACGTGAGAATAAATGAAATTGCAGAAACTAAGTAGTATTTTGAGAGTCCACTGAACAGTCTTTCAAGGACTAAGAACTTCTGAGTAGCCCTGGCAATCTGTCTACTCTCTACTGTGCCTAACTGGGGTCCACTAACTCAGTTCCTGCTTTTCTCCATTAGAAATATCCCAGATTATGAATCCTTACATAAAGTTTGGTAGTCACTGCTATGAACTTCATGTTTTGGGACAATATTATTTCATCAAGACAAAAACATCTTCCATTTTTTTTCTCACAAGCTTACACTGTAGTCAATTAAAATTAGAAGGGATTGTTGACTGAAAAAACAAGGCATATCATATAGAGGTCAGTCTTTTAACAGCAAGACTTGAGATTATTTTAAACCCTGTGCATGGAAATGCAGTAAACATATTATCTTGCCAAGAATACAGATATAACAGTTCTGCCATAGCCCAGAAGTACAGAGGAGTTAATGAAGACAACTCCTGCAAATATTTAATTTCCTGAGTTATTTCCCTCCCTCCACTGATACCTGTCCAATTCCTGGACCCCTGATAAAGCTGCTGGAACACTTCCAGAGCAGCTGCCTTTAATCATTCCCAGCTGACGGCACTTCTGTTTGTCTTCAACTCTCAGCTGATTAATGCAGTGGCCATATTTATTCTGTGCTGTATCTGGTTATGATTTGTCATTATCAGATACATAAACATCGTGGCTGATGACAAGTTGTCCTTCATGGACATGCAAACGATATTGAAGTCTCCTACTTGTGCTGCAACCTTTATGTGGATACGTCTAACACACCATTCTCCTAGTCATTATATTCTCTTCAGAATTGTCTACACTGAAATCTTGGTACTCCTAAATATTTTAAAGGATCAGGGAGGAAAATTCACTGACAAAATAGACACTGACACCAGGTAGCAAATGAGGTTTATTACCCATGAGGTTTGATCCTCTGGACAGTGAGCTGTGTTGGAGCTGGAATAAAGAATATCATCCTTGACTAAAACAGAGATTGCTCTTAGAATGAAAGAGAGGAACAGGTTCAGATGGATGTAGTTCCGAGTACAATGAAGTTTTCTAAAAAGAGATTTAAAAACAAGCATTTTAGATTACGATGCAGCAACTGTTGAACAAACTTCTATTGCTCTGTGGACACTTAGCAATATGAGCCTGGAGTAGGAGCATACTCCTTCCTTTTCTGTCATTTTGTCAGTGCTGCCTTGCTGTTTTCTTTCATCTCTGACTTCTGTTTAGTATCACAGACTAAAAGATCCCAGTGGTATTTCTCTCACATTTTAACATAAGCTGACAATAAACATAGGTTATTGTATCCTTCTGTGTGTGAACTCAGTGCTTTTCTTGAAAATACAGCTTTGATTATCCTGGATATATTTCAGATGTGCTCTCACCTATCATCTGGTTTCACTCTTTTATTTAGCTCATTTGTTTTGCTTCATAGTGACTTTTGATCCTATGATGTTGGTGTATGCAGGAGCAATTCAAAATGCATTCAGAACATTTGATCACCTATCCTTTCTATCCAATGAATGCAAAACTTCTTTAGTCTGGCAGCCATGTGAAAGCCTTACAAATAAATGACAGATTAAATATTCCAAGTAAGTGAATGAGTACACAGGGGAAGCAAGCTATAAGTTGAGGTGTTTTCCCTTAAAATACACTCACTCCCTTCAAGATTTTCCTATTTAAAAGATTCTTTTTATAGAAAATCCCTACAAACCAAACTGCTAAGAGGTTTTTGTGGTTGCAACCAGCACCTTGAGCTGCACCTGGAAATAGCCCAGAAGCCAGGGCATTTTAGCAAGCATGAGCTGTGAAAAAAGTGAAGATGCAACAGGTGTAATGGCAGTGTGCAACTTCCAAGTATTCTTCCAGTAGTGATTTTTACCAAACATATATAATCCCTTCTGAAACTACTGAAGCAAGGATAGTTACAGTGAGTGTATGGAAATAAAGAACAGATCTGTCTTGCTAGCCCTGAATTTGGCAAAGGACATAATGCCAGGTTGAATTTTAAACAGTTGCCAAAAATGCAGTGACTGCTGTGGCCATTGACCCCCTTTGCTGAAATACCACTATTATGTGATTGCATCACAGGTTTCTGTGGAATGCAGAGACATATGCAAGCTGCAAATAGGAGGAAACTGGTTTTTTTAATAACTCTTGTAAATTATTAGTTATTAATCCCATTTAGTAGCTCAAATAATAAATGTTGGATATATACAAGGCTGTCAAACCAATATTTTGGAGTTAGTGGGCAGAAATTAATTCCTAATTCAACTTTCTATGTTGGGAAGGCCTATCTTTCCCTGAAAATAACAGAGGAAGATTCTTCTTGAAGGGGGGCTTAGAAGATTATGTTGCCTCCTGAAATAAAGTCTGTCTTTTCCCTGACTCAACTGGAATACTGAAAAAAAAATAATCTCTACTTGGATATTTAAATTATAGTTGAAGGTTTTGAGTAAATTCTTGATCTGTTACACCTGACTTCTGGTGATGGGTGACATTCAGAAGTCTGTAATTCTCTGCATTAAATGTGGTTTTAGGTTTTAGTAGTTTTGAAACTGCAGTAATTTGCATTGGGATCTGCCTGGAGCATTTGCTGGTAGAAGGAGTATAACCATGACTGACTGACTTATTTTTTCTAAAATGTATTCCAAACATAATTATGGGTTATGTATCTGCTCTGAATGGTCTCTGAATATTTAGATATTGAGAAAATTTGATGGCAGACTGAAAGGTTTACAGAACTTGGCAAAGGAATATTTCATGAGAGGAATGAGGCTCTGACAAACAACATGCTGCTATCTACATATTATTTCTACCAAAACTGTGAGATGCACTTTCTTGGCTTTCCTGGTCCTAAGTGGAGCAGAAAAGCTGTGTGAAGCTCATAATGGAGAATATAAAGGCTACTCTGTTAGACAGGTGGAAGTGATACATAAAGGCATGAAGATGGAGAGACAGAGAAAAACTGAGATACTGATAAGACCATTTTAAAAGTTATTTTACTTGTCGAAGATTGCCTTCAGTCTAAGAAAAGTCACAGAAATTAGGCAAAAGCAGCAGGCAGTACTGCCTTTCCTAGCATTACCTAACAAAAATATTGCAGACCCATCACAATTATCCATACTTTCACTACTGTGCTTGGAACCTGTGAGGCTTGTACCTCGAGCACCGTGTTCTGTTCTGGGCCACTCACTTCAAAAAGGACATTGTGCTGCTGGAGAGTGTCCAGACAAGGGCAATGAAGCTGGTGAAGGGTCTAGGAAACACGTCTTGTGCAGAGAACCTGAGGGAACTGGGGTTTTGTCTGGAGAAGAGGAGGCTCAAGGGAGACCTCATCATTCTCTACAACCACATGAAAGGAGGGTGTAGCAAGATGGGGGCTGGTTCCTTCTGCCATGATTCAAGTGAAAGGATGCAAGGAAATGGTCTTTAGTTGCATTAGGGGAGGTTCAGATTAGATATTAGATAAAAAATTTTTCACTGAAAGAGCGGTCAGGTGTTGGAATGAATTAGCCAGGGAGGTAGTGGAGTCAACTGTTTTTGGAAGTGTTCAAAAGGTGTTTGGATGCAGCACTTGGGGATATGGTTTAGGGGTGATTATGGCAGTGCTGGGTTGATGGTGTGAGTAGATGATCCTGGAGGTCTCTTTCAAATTTGGTAATTCAGTGATTTGGTGATTCTGTGATTTAAAGCCCCAGCTGGACAAATTAGCGATTGCCTTTGATTACAGTACCCCTGGAAACCACTCAGAAGCTTCTGCAAAACATGGCTGAACTCTTGTCCAGGGGTGAGATCAGCATCCAACTAATTCTCAAGAGCAATTCAAGGTGTTGATTTTATTAACCAAATAGAAAATGTTTTATGCAATCATTCCTAAATTACTGTTCTTTCTTGCATGGGCTGTAATGCCTGTAAATTTGTAAATTGCTTTGAAAGTTGTTAATATGATCCGTGCTAGCAAAAAATCTAGTGAGCATTACATTACTGTCAGCTGTTTAACTGCAAAAAGTATAAACTCAATGCATTTTCTAAATAGCTGAGCAATCAGAAAACAGTTAAAGATGTCTTATCATTGTTAATATTTATTCATGAAAAACACATACCTGAAAAGGCAAAGAATTATACTTCCTGTTGTAAGAGCAATCAGAGATACGCTGTGCCCAAGGGTATAAATTGCTTTCACCCTCACATAGAAGTTGACCTGCACAGAAAAATAGAGCAAAAACTACTTACTGATATGTCAAATTGTCTGTGAAATGATGTAACTGTCCATTAAATAGCTCTGAAAGCTATAGCATGATTTTCATTCTTTGCTCTACAGTACATGATGAGAATGTTATATCTCTATTCCAACACATTTTGCAAGGCAACATCTCAAGGGAATTGACTTCAGTAGAAGATTCAGCCTCAGGAACTCAAAACTTAGACACACAATCTGGTACTATTCCAGTTGATTATACCATGTCAATGAGGTCAAATAAAGTATCAGAATCATCAATTTCCATGTACACAATCAAACTGGTAAGAGCAAGTCAGTTTGAAAGAACGGATTATCTCTAAAAGAAATAATTTCCCTCAGTCCTTCTGCTCTAGAGTACTTTGTAATGCAGTTATACATTAATTTAGTTTTAAAGACACATTTAAGTCTCATTAATTTCCTCTTCTAAATGTTCAAATACTTTATTAAATGGTGACCCAAACAACCCTTTCTTTAGTAAAGTTACTTGCTAAAATTTGGAAAGGAAATTTTTCAACAGAGGAAACGCAGGCTGAAATGCACAGTCTGCTGATTAACTGCATATATCTGTAAATATACCAGCTACACACTACAATAAATCTTATTCTGAATAACAACATCAAGAAGAATAGGGCTAAATATTTTCAAAATTAAACTGCTTCTCCATTTATGCCTACAACAAAATCATTAGACTGACATAAGTTTCCACTCAGACTAGATAAAATATTAAGAGTGAAGATTTTTTTTATTACATTAAAATCATGAAATTAAAGACTTTAAAAGCAATGTGGAACATGCCACATATAAGAGACAGAATTTCAATATTTAGTGCACATGATTATCATTTGCCTTCCCAAACGATGCCAGTAAAAAGTAGCAAGGAAGGAACACTTTCAAATAAACTAACATAGCCAAAGGAATCTCAGATCACTTAGTGTATTTATTTTTATAGAATTCCAAAGGCCAAGTAAGGAAGTTATTTTAGCAATCCCAATTCATGATGAAATTAGCTGAATGTTCCCTTTGCAAATGTTATACAGATATGGAAAAGGCAATATGAAATGTGAAATGAAATGAAGACTTTTGCAACTGCACTGTTGTAGATATGGTTTAAGTGGAAAAATATGGGAAGCAACTGCCATGGATCTTAAGTGCATTCATAGCAAATGTTGTTATATATTTCAACAATTAGACTGTAGAGTAAGAGAGTCTTTTGTACTTTGGTATAAAGAAAGTAGCTGTTCAAACTATACTGGGATGATTGAGACATGCCCAACAAGAAAACTGGACTGGTTTAATTTTTCATCATTCCACACAATTTTGAAAATTCTGTCCAGATTTGATTTCAGGAAAAATCCACTGACAGAGACGCTTGAAATTGGACCTATCTGGTTTCAGAATTCCTAAATGAAGGGAAAAAAAAGTGGAAACCCTGCATGAACATCCTAACAAAGCATCAGTTGTCCAGCCACACTGCTGTAACAGTGCCTTGAATTTATCCTCTGGCCTTGTACTCTGAGCTTGACAGAAACTGCCAGGATGCTGCACATGAAGTGACTGTCACTTCGCCCTGCTAGAGAGAACAGAAGAGATGTCTTCTGCCAGAAAAAAACCACACTATTTCATGTAATGTTTCTGGCATTCTGCACACACACATGACCCCAACAACAAATAGTCTGACTAAAATCAAAAGAAGATGCCCGTGTACATTTAGCCCAGCAAACAGCTGTCAGTATCAGCAGGACTGAGTCTCTCTGCTGTCCATTCCTTTGCCAAACAGATGAGTGTGAAATAGCTGCATGGAAGTATGTCAGGATTGAAGTTAATCAGCCAAGACTGCTTGGACATTACCTTAATAATGACCATGGTAATTTTGCTCAAGCTAAGCATGAGGAAATAATTACATAGTGGAAATTATTTATCATATGATAATAATTATCCTGTATTCTACACTTGAAATCGTAGAAAAGTACACCTTTCCCTTTTCTTCAGACGTTTTAGTGGTTTAGTTTTATAATGGACAGTAATCTTAGATGCTACAAAATTTTCTACTGATCAAAAATTAACTCTGCTTCTCAAACTGTTGCAAAGGGTAGTAAAAATTAACCCATTTCTAATTTATTACATCAAAAATTACAATTATTCAAATTCATGTGTTATGATTTTCAAAAAAAGTGTAGATGATTAGAATGCTTTAGATTATTAGCATGAAGTACTTTATCAGACTCAGCACCAAAGATGATGCAATCATACTGCTCCTTACATTTCCTGCATGAACATAAAACAGATGTGTCTTAATTTGCCTGTAAGACCTCTGTGACTCCAAGTGACTCAACAAAAAATGGTGTTCTCAAATCGTATGTCAGTTAAATATACTCACAAACTCTGTTAAGACAAAGAATTAAATTCCACATTGTGCTGTGGCAACTGAAAACCAGAAAATCATTAGACTAATATTGACTTAGTCACAGCTATTAAACATTTGTCACTTGTCTGTATTTTAGCTTGTACCCTTTAGAGACAAACTCTTTGTATTGTATTGGTGCAAAAGAAACAGGCAAAGCAATGCCAAATCTCACAGCACATAAAGGAATATATTTTATATACAAAATGGGATATCTTACTTATTTCTTACTACTCTGTGTGAACTGTAATTACCCAGGTCTCAAGTAACACTCAGCTTTAACCCCTAAACTTAAAATATAAATGTGCAAGATTGGCAAGAATAAAATGACTGCAACAAGGCATGGACCAAAAAAGAATTTCAGAAATTATATTATCGACATTTTAACACAGATGAAATATCATAAGCACTTCAGATTTTATAGCTCTTTTCAAAGGAAAAACTGATTTAAGTCATACACATGAAATTGAAATGCCATTATGAAATTGAAATCATATGAACTTTTCTGCAGGTCTAACAAAATCAGTACTTTTGCAACACAGTAAGAACAGCTGGCCTCTGCAAAATATTCACAGGGTTATTTAAGCAATGCTGATTCCAAAACTGAAATCCAACTATTCATTTTTAAACTTCTGAGGAAAATATTAAAATTACAACCACTACAGCAAAGTCAGTAGGTGTCCAGGCACAGAAAAAAATCAGTGGCTAAGATTTTTAGAAGAAATAATGGGAATGGTTACAGGAAGGGTAAATGTTTTCTAAAGAGCTAATCCTAAAATGTTTACCCTTTTTTGGAGCTACTTAATGTTAATAGTTTTAAAAGGGCATAAACCCCCACACATAAAATGAAATTGGATTAGTACAAGTTTGCCTAATTTTTCTTAACTTCAATAAATACTTTGCAAAGTCTATTTTTAGGCACACTTGTGCTTCGTTTTCTTAGAAAAGACACCTGTTCCTGCTAGTGTTTCCTTTAAATTTAGTTTCATGTTATTTTTACTGAGTTCAGGAGACAGAATTCTTCTGTTTATTTACAAAATAGCACAGAAGAGCAGAGACACTTCCTAGGCAAAGCTGACAGTCACCCAGTAGATCTCTTAACATCAGCCTTGGTTTGGAAGGACCTCTAGGGGTGAGAAGGTATCTAAGTGCTGAAGGAGAAAACACTGGAGAAAGAGCTTGATTCTTTGTCCAAAGGGGTTTTGCTGTTGACATAAAATCACTCTTAATGTATAAGAAAAGCCCTCAACTTTCTATTCATTTGCTTAAAAATATAATTTATCATTGCTAAGGAATATATGACCATCATCATCCCAACTGGCTCTTCATTTTGTTTATTCTGTGGGATAATATAACCCTGTAATATTGCATTTAAGAACTTCCTCTTTACAGATATAATTATTTACAACTGTATTAGAATTTGTGGTCTTAAATTTTCATGATCCATGTGTCAATATTTGAGTATTTCATAATATTTGAATATTCATACTTGAAGAACATATCAGAAAATCTTAAGCTGTACAATGTAAAATAAGAACTGGGCCTAGCAAATGTGTTCAGTGCCTTAGATGTATTACATTTTGTGGAAAATTTAATTTTCTCTTAAAGGACACTTCTACACATTTTAAAATTATGTATGTAGAGAAGAATAGAATTTACCAAAAAGACATGTAATAAAATTGTTATTCCTCATGGGATTTAGTAATTTTTATACAAGTAATTAATTATATCCTTTTTCTGACATTTTTCCTTCAATTCACTTTGAACCTAAACACCCAAAATAAAGATGAGATCAGCATTGCCGTAAGTATCTCTTAGTAATAGTGGCATCATTAATTTTAATTATGCCAGTCAAAATGTCTTCTTATTCAAAGTTCCCTAACCACAGTGGCAGAGATGACAACTTTGTAAATGCACAAACTTCCACATTTTCCTGTGTAAATGTGTATCAGCAGATGTATCTGTGAATGTGAACACTCATTGTGTTTACACACATTGAATTTAGCAGTTTATTGATTATTCCACAATTAATTAATTCATTCATTTCTCTCAATGAATTTCTCTTCGTATGACACCACACATTTAAATCACACAGCCTGTAACTTGTACATAGTGGGGCTCTTGTGTGATCTAATAAATCCTGGGCCAATTCACGCCAAGATCAGACAAAGCTGCATTAACTTATTCAGTCATTATATTTAAATAAAGTGGACACATTTCAGTGCTTTACATTCACCAAACATCTTGCTGTGTATTAATAATGCTGACACAGAGTTTAATACCTTCTGACAACAGCTAGGACATATCTCCAGCTTGTTCAGTCTAGATAGAAGATGTCAAAGTTTGTCAAGGAAAGACTGCAGTGAGGCTTGAGTTTGGTTAACACACCTTGATGTGTGTTTCTAGCATGGTCAAATCAAGCTTGCTTTTTTTGCTCTTTGCATGTTGTACTGCCTTGAGGTCCACAGAAATATAAAAGGGAACAAAAAGATACTTATCTGAATACCTAAGATGAACCTAAAACTTGGTCTTGAAGGTTAGCAGTAACCAGTTTACTTACAGAAAAAGGTCTGTAAGTATATAATAAAGGTTTAGATCTACACTTCAATGTCATAACATACAAATAGTTTGCTCAGACATTATCACTGTCAGGCTTTAACCACAGCGGCAGCAAAACATCACACAACCACTCCCTCCCTCCTCCCCCTGCCATGGGGTGGGGAGGAGAGCTGGGAAGAACATAAAACCTTTTAAAAGATAATTCCTTGACTTAGGGTAAGCACTAAGCAACAGATAAAACACCAGTGTGTTACCAACATTATTCTCACACTAAAATCAAAACACAGCCCTGTACCAGCCAGTAGGAAGAAAGTTAACTCTATCCCAGATGAAACCAGGACAGTCATATTTATCAATCTGGTCCCCCATAAATAATTGCAAGAGCAGTAAAGAGCACTAAGATCTAGATAGAATAAACCAAGGGTTTAAACAGGCACTTACAGTTAATTTCAAAATGTTAAGCAAATAGTTTCTTTTTATAGAACCTACTAATATATCATTAACATGGAATAAAAATGGAATATTTTAATGTGAACATAAAATCAATGCAAACTGTGAAAGCATGCAAGATCTTTCGGTAAGGAAATAAGAGGTGACATGTTTATGCTATTTTTAAATAAGCTTCCTTATTTCAGTGCATTTTTAAGCATAGCAATTTGATACCTGTTAACAAATTATTCAGTATTTGTTCACAGACCTCTATCATTTAAACCTTCTCTAGAATATTCAAAGCTGCCCAAAATAAATGCATATCTGCAGACAGATGTATGCCTGTGTGTATGCATATATATAGAATATGTACAATATGTATAGAAATAAGCCACCTTTGCATTGAAGATAAAAGTCTGTATCTTAAAAGACAGGAAAAAACCCCACCGGAACAAATACTTAGTTGGATCTATAATGGAAATTCATTCAGCAATGAAGATACAGGCACCAAAGCTACACCAAAGACAGTTTCTACCTATTCCTCTAAAATTGTCTTCAAAGGAAAATTTAGGACTCACTCTAGGAAAACTATTTTACCACTTCCCTAAAATATGAGTTAATGTAACTTTGGGGACACCCTCGTATGCTTCATCCCCCATACTGCAGAGCATGTTGCTGCATGACATCTTTATGCCCAGAATACTCAGTATCCAAATATTAGGACTTTATTTTTAGCTTTCATAGTTGAAATATTAGATTTTAAAAAAAATAAAAATAAAGAACTACACTGATTTATGCTGAGTAAAGCTTTTGGTTTGGGGGGCTACCATTGAGCACTAAGATCCAAATTCAAGAAAACATCTGTGTAAACAATGTGATGCAGAACCTCAAATGCCTCCTGAAATCTCACTGCTGCATGATACTTGCATTTTTCCATTGTCTCTATGATTTATATTATATGTATGATATTATATTGATTGCATGTTTGCCACTAATTTTCCAGTACCTGCTTTCCACATCCCTCTCTTGATTTTCATCCTCACACTTTTATTATTTGCTTTTTTGCTTTTTTCAAGGCTTTTGCAAATGTTCCTGCTATATCCTATTTCAAGTTGTCTAGGTTAATTCCTGCAATACACTCAATTTGCATTTCATTCACCTCCTTCAAATTACTAATGAATATGTCAAACAAGAACTGCTTTTCTATTATACTAGTTCATCTGCTAACTGTTTCTCACTACTTGAAATATTATATTTTCTTAATTTGAATTTTTATGCTTTGACCCATTTTCATACCACGTGACAATTCCTGGGTTGAGTGACAATGTTTAAAGTGGCTGTTTTAGCAGTAATACATGTGTGTTCCCAAGCTGTCAGATGACACAGATGTTTTAGAATTTGTCTTCAGAAAAGTTGGGAAAACAATATGTTCTCTCAATTTTCTCTATTTTCAACTACAGTAATGGCCGGGCTTTTAAATACAGAAAGAAATGCTAAAACCTTCCTGCCTTAGCTGGAATACCAGTGCATCTCTGCAAGCCAGACAGAACAGATCTGCTACAGCTATTCCACACGTACTAAAATCCAGCTGGCCAAGTATCTTTGTTCATGAGAGGACTTAATCTGTTTTGGGTAACAAGAATTTTACTGACACTGTGAGCTCATCCTTGTAAACAAACTCTTGGTCTGTTAGCCTCAGTAGGAAAATAGACAGAAAATACATAAAACACGATGATGAAAACTCTTCCCTCAACAAAAAGAGATAGTATCTGCAAAGTGAACAAATTCAGTTTTCCATGCGTAGTGTATTTAGGATACCTTGACAGCTTTATGAATAACTTACAATTGCTAGCACAATTTCAAGTCCAATATAATCCCCAACTGATTATAATAACTCCAATGACCTAAATCTATTCGATTTTACTTAAAACTTCAACACATAGCATCAACCAAGTGGTTCACGTAATACTAACAGATTATTAGTATTAAGTTTTGAGATAACTTTTAAAAATATTATTTTGAAATAAAAAACTTCTAGAAATAACACAATGCAAAACCTATGGTGCACCAGCTGAGTAACACTGCAATATTAGATATACAGATCCTTTACTGCAATTGCCAACTGTTTATAGCCTTGAGTTTCAAACAGTTACTGAGTTCTATATTCCTGATTTTATCTCATAAGACAACTGCAATCCAAGCATATTGCAACCAACGCTATGAAAAATTACTACAGATTTTCATTAAATCTCATTTTTATTCAGTCTGAGCAAAATGGGTTTTATTTAGAAGCAGAATATATCTGGTAGCTGTACTGAACCCCATCATCTAAATGAATAGAAAAAGTATTTTTCCTACCTTATAATCGTCTTCGTAGTCATTATATCCACAAGTACTTAAGATGTCAGGAAATATATCCGACCATCCATTACTTGTACAATTTTTGCTAATATTTCCTGTAAAGCAAAATCAGAGAGTTTAAATCAGAAAGATTTAAAACTCTTCTCATCAGTGACTCCTTAAACAATCTGTGTCATTAACTGGTTGCAGCCTTGCTCTTTTTCTTTTATTTCCTAGAACTCTTCCTTGGAGTTGCCTTTGCACTACAGAAAAACAGAAGTAAACCCCAGACTTTTCCTTTGATATAACAGCTATTTCTGTTGCACATCTGCAAAAGCGTAAATTGTTCTGCTATTTTATTTAAAATACTCAGGAGGGAGCCATACATTTCACTCTGTAAAGGGGGTATTTGTAGGTAAAGTAATTAGAAAGAAAAGTCATTTCAGTGACAGTTGTTCTAATCTCCAATTTAAGCCTTCTGAGAAGCCAACAGCAAGGGATCTGCTGAAGAGTTACAAAAGCTTTTAGACATTAAGGTGATGGCTTACTGCTACAGCAAATGTTGGTAAGTTTTGTAATGGTTTAAATGCCAAATTATGCCATAGGCTGAAGAATGAGGAATAAAGATGCATGCTGAATTTCCCTCTTTGAACCAATACTGAAACAATGTTGTACAAGGAATGTACAGGGTGTTTGGAAGTATAGCTGGAAAGGAATTTTGAACATTTATTTATTTCAGAAAGTTTCTGTTTGGAACTGGCAGAAAAAGTTGACTCCAGAGACAAAATCACTCAAAAGAGATGGAGTAAACTCATGATTCTACTTCTTAATTTAATTAAAATTATTTAATTTTCATGCAATATGGAACAATTTCAAGAGGGAAAAGCAGAAAAACCTGAGGTCAGACTAATAGTCATCACATTTGTTATAACTTACTCTTACAATGTTAATTCACAGCCAACTTCCCCTCACATTTCTTAGAGCAATTTGTATATTTATGATACTGGAAATCTATAATAATATACTGCTTTGGTTTGCAGTTTACCACTGGTTTATAATTGACTTAAGGATGTCTGGCTTTTACCATAGAAAAATGAATTTATGCATCATAGATCAGTGTTGGTCAAGAATAACCGAACTTGTTTATATACACTCCAAACTAAAGCTTTTGTGATATTTACTTTGTTGATTTGTTACTGGAATTTCTTCTTTGTATAAAGTCTTCAGTGGAAAGTTGTAAATATCCAATATATGGTTCACCAGCCAGCAATCAAATCTTTCCAGCTAATAAAAAGGCCTTGACCTGAACCCACAGTCTCCTCAAACAATGGGACCACTTTTGCCGTTTGGCATAGAAATGACATTTTTAAAAGGAAATGTAACCTATTTATACACTGTGAAGAGTCTTCACTTTAAAAGTACATCAAGATTCTCTGACTAGGCAGAGCAGAGGAATGTGTTAACAGAACCACAAATTGCGTCAAAGCCAGTTTTGCAAGAAAAAACTCAATGTACTCAAGATGCTGAAGCATCTCCTACGTCAAATACTGCAATACCTTCTAACCTAAAGAGAGTTGGGCAATGTTCTATGGAAGGCAATGTTTAATTCTACACCATCTTTTCATGCAATTAAATATTTCTAATGGCAACCTTATTTAAAACCTGTAACACGACACATACATTTGAATAAAAACTTTACAGAATAACTTTCTAAGGCTTATAAATTTGTACAATACAGGAAAATATTACAGGATAATATGATTGCTTTTACAGTAAAAATTCTTTTAATCAAAAGATACTAATATTCAATATAAAATTAACCACGTGGCATGCTTAAACTATAATGTAGAACACCACAGAAGAAACTTAGAGTCAGCTTTCCAAAAGTTCTAAAGATGAGAAGACAGCTACTTTTTAAAATTCAATTTAAATTTGGAAATCCTTTAAGGAATTCCTTTAAGGAATTTAAAAGCCTACTTGTAGTTTGGAATATTTGCATAAAAATAAGGTAGTCTAGATCATCTTGTAGTAGAATTTTAACTCCTCTAAAACACTAAAAGCTAAGATATACATCTCACAAATCTGGCTAAATAAAAAGATTTAAATTTCTTGTTTGAAGGTATTTTCATAATTTTCCTCTATAAGAATGAAATTAATTTGTAATGTGAATTAAATAAATTACATATTCCTGAGCATGATCAACTTATGAAAATACCAAGATGCTTAGTTAGCTCTTAATTGAATCAACCATGCAAAATGTTTGTTGTCTTCCTTCTCTGAAATTATTGAAAGACAAGGTTTATAAAATGTATAAACCTTTATAAAACTTTGCAAAACTCTTAATTGAAGAGGGACCTCTAAAAATCAACCCTGTTAGTTCCACAAGCAGGAAGGAAACCAGTAGTTACGAAAAAAGCTGGATCTGGGAAAATGATAGCAAACTATAAAATGAAGTAATCTTTCAGTCTTGCTGGCACCATGGTGAAGTGAGATTGGGTTGGAATGCAATGTGAAGATTTCAGACTGAAATATTTATTGCAGTTGTTTTATGGTAAAATTAAAATGTTGTTGTAATATAACTAAAGTTTGTGAAATAAAGTCCAGAGAGTGTGCATGCTCTAGCTTTTGGCAAATAGACAGAAGCAGCATGACTTAATTCAGATTTTGAATTTTTGATATTTATTAGTTTGCCTTGTCTCTTGACAACACTTTATTATCTTTGTTTGAGTAATTTGAAAACTTTTATAGATTTCACAACATTTAGTGATGATTACACATTCTTTCCCCTTTACAAATTATTTAGACTATCCATGACAAACTAATCAAGATTCACCAGTTCCAGGAATGAAAACCTTTGCTTGTCTGTAGATTGTTTTACTTACCTATTTTTTACTGGAAAAAGACTTATTCAACAGTTTTGAGTCTAAAGGTATTTTAATCATACCCCAAATTAGCCTCTAAGTTAAAAGTAATATTTCTAAAGCTCTCCACAGAGACACCAACCTCCCGTTCCTCGCCCCTCAATAAAGAATTATATAACTGTGGTAAGGTTTGCATCTTTTACCAGCTCTTCAGGACAATGGTTTCCCACCTGAGCAATGGGGATAAGATTTTTCCTAAAGCATTTTGAGATACATGTGAAATACTCTGTGTGCATCATCTATTTTCAAAACCCCATGTAAACGCCACAGGGCAAAATATGATTTATTGACAAGATGGTGCAGAAGATGGTGGACTTAAACCAGCTAAATGTTTCAGCAGACAGACACTGATGAGCTCTTTTCAAGTTCCATTAAAAAGCAGAATAAAAGCTTTCATAATAACTACCTTAAATTGCAATAGCAGTAATTTTTAGGTATTATCTGTTAATGTAGGCTCTTTATTCTCATGATGGCAAGGCAGAGATCCCCTCCTGAGGCACAGAAGGAACAACCTACATGTGACATGCTGGCAACTCTTAGAGATGTCAGCCAGGCTCAGCTGCCTTAATAATTAACAAAATAGGTAAGAAAAGAGCAAGCAATGTCTGCAGCTTTGGTGAGTGTCACTGTATCAGAAAATATATTTAGGATCTAACTCAAAGAACACCAAATAGAACACAAAGATGATAATTTGGTCTTTTCATGGTGTATCCTGTAGCTCTGACATAAACTCCTAATCTATAAAGAAAATTAAATCCCAAATAAAATATTTTTAGCACATTATGTTACAGAATAAGAGAGAGAAGCCAGTAAAAGTAAGCCTAAAAATAAAATACCTGGTTTGCCAGAAAAAAGGCTAAATACTTTTGGACAAGGGACAGTGACAGTCTCTCCAATCTTCGCAGGACGCCAACAGGTGATGTTATCCCAAACTCCAACACATCCTGAAACAAAACCAGCATGAACAGACTTGAAAGCTGGGTTTAGCTTATAAAGTCCTGGTGAAAGCTTTGGACAAACAGTTCAAAAAATATTAGACACCTTCAAGAAAGCTGCAAATATGATATTTTCTGTGCAAACTTGAAAGGAATCATGAGTCTGCTGATTAACCAACCAATTTTTAGGTCAGTTAATACATTGTTTGCAAAATGTCTAATTAAAACAATGTCATTGTGATGTGAGGATGCTAAGAAAAAGTAAGAAATATTAAAAAATAACTCCTGAGCATTGATATGAATCATTAAGAACTGCAAAATTTTGAGAACTTCCTAATCACAGTTAAAATGGAGTTTCTATCAAGCAGATTGAATATCACAAATGAATATGTAAGTAGGTCATTGTACTCAGCACCACATATGATTGGAATGCGTTATGATTGGAGAGTGTTTGGAACAATAGGCATAATTTATATTTATAATGTATTTATAATAGCCTTATTTTACAGGATAATATCTTAAACTAAATAACAGACATTTGAACAGAGAATGCCTCTATATATTGGTTTCAAGGAGGGGAGGGGGCCTTCACATTTTGTAGACATATTTTATAATGGCAGTAAATGCTTGTTACAGGTAGAGAGTAACTTGCTACAGCTCTGCCCATTTTGATATCCATATTAATGGGGCTCTAAAGCTACATCTTGTGAATGACTGTAAATATTCCTATAGCTGCTATAGGCACTTGGCTTAATCATGCCCTCTTTAAAGATGTCTGTTTATAATGCAGACCTTCTAAGCAAAGCAAAGAGCATGAAAGTTTGTCAAAACAAGCCTTGCAAGGACAAAGAAGTAAGGACATGTTACTCATCTTATCTCAGTTCAAGTTATTTTAGAAAAAAGAAATTGTGAAAAATTCTGGGCATTTATGTCTTCAGATAAGGAGATTAAAATTTACATTTGTAATTAATGGTAAGGACAGAAATCAAACTATTATCCCACTGGCATTATCTCCATAAGATTATTAGCAGTATAAGGGACAGTTTGTTCCTTTCAGTAGAGAACATAAAACTTGGATTGGGAACTGTTCACAGCCATATTATTCTTCAGAATATTTATAGTATTAGCAATTAATTATTAATTTATTATGTGCCAGTGAGGTCATGCCCAAAATCAAGCGACATGAGTTAAATTAAACTTGAAAAGGAATATTTAGAAATTCTATATTTGTATAAAAACTTTTTAGTGTGATTAAACTTGGACAGCTTGTGTTGACTTAAAATATGCAGCATCCTGCTTTCAAAGTTTAAGTTACTTTCAAAGCACACTTAAACTAGGGAAGCAAAGAATGTGTAACAGGACCAGCAGCTGGATTTGTCCCAGGGCTGTGTCCTAACTGCAGCACAAAGATAAGCCAGTGGCACAGTGTTCCCATGGGATTTACTTTCCTTTGGAAACATCCATCCAAGTGTGATAACTGTGAGGGAGCCTCTGTGTGGTACCACGAACAAGGTTTGGAAATGATAAATGAAGATGAGAGGAGGATTATGGGGGAAATTCTGCATTTGATCACCAATTCCACAGAGTCCTCTTTATACAGTTTCCCAAGGAAGTGCAATTCTCCAGAGGATTCTCTTGCTTACGGGGATTGGGTATTTCTTCTCTCCTCTTAGGATTGTACAGCTCTAAATGCAGCATCTGTTCTATATTCAGAAAGATGGTGCAAAAATAAGGGACTACTAAAGGGAACACTTCACAAAGTTTATCTCTGTGCATAGATAACGTAATCCCTTATCCTCCATTGCCCTGTATGCCGCAGCAATCTCTCTTGGCATTACCAACAGTATCCCTGAGAGCTCTTGGATGGTGGCGTGGCCATCTGTACACAATTTCAGGGGTTTGCAGTGAGCAGATCACCTTCATAGCCTTTGAAATGGAATTTGAACATGCTTAGGTGCTTCCTCAGCTTCAGTTCCGGGTCAAAATCAAGTCCAAATCTCTATGATGCAGCACCAGGGCTTACACAAAGGAGAATGTTTACCTGAACCATGCTTCCTCCCCAGCTGATTTTAAGCCAAAAACAACATCAACAACATGACATACAAGTAATCAGAAAGACAAAGAAACTATTTTCTTCATCTGCCAGCACTCCGAACTACAGTGACAAAATGAAACTCTTCTGGCTTTGATTGATAGACTGCCTGAGCCAGCATAAACAAGCCCTGGAGTACACAAGAATAATTATCATCTTGTAAGACCTCAGACGTTTTTATTTCAACCCCATTTTCACTAACAGTGAGAGCTGGGTCATGAAACTGCACACTCATGGAAGCTGATGACTTTCTCAAATTTTCCCTTTTGTTTAATCCACTCTCTGTAAAATAGTGGGTTTGTTACAGTAGTCTGCAAACAGCTCAGAATTTTTAAACTTTATAATTTTTTCCTATCCTGCTGTGTATTGACTGGGCTAAGGTTTTGACAAACAAGCAGCTGAACAGCCTGGACTTTAGAGCTCCATTGCTATATTTTCCACAGAAAACACTTAAAAAATCTTATTCAAGCCTCAATTGCACTGAATACTATATAGAAAAATTGAGGTTTAATCCCTATTCCTACCAAAATTAATTCACACAATTCATATCAAATCTCAAAGCTTGCTGGAAGGAACTCAATATACAAGTTTTTGATGTGCAAAACATCACAAGTCACTAGTGGTTTCTGGGGAATATGCTTTTTCCTTTATTTTTCCTCAGTATAATAGGACTTTACAGGCATCTGTGGCCCAGGAGAGAATGGCACTATTTCAGATTCCTTAAATCAAATGGATGAAGTTACACCAAAGATGTATTTCTTATATGTAGACTACATTCAAATGCATCACAAATCATGTGAGTGAAACTGAAGTTGCCGTCACCAGAACTCAAAGAATATTAAGCCTCAATTTATGTATATCTACAGGCTTACTGATAATGGTACAGGACATCTGAGAAAACTGCCAAAATGTCCTGGAGGCATCTATAGCCACTGAATGACTGCAGTGGGCATCTGAAAACTTGTCTAGTCTGAATATTAAAATGGCATTACTGGTGTAATTACTGCTAGAATTACAACTGTTAAACAACAATGGACTTTGTGGGTTTTCAAATCACACCATTCCTCATTGCCCCCTTCTTCCAATTACTACAGATTTTTAACAATATTGCATTCATGTATCTTCTTTTTCTCTTAGGGAAACATTCCCTTATGCAGAGGTGGGATACAATTAACTAACTTCATCCTAAAACCCATGAAATTAGGCCAGGTTAATTGCTCCCAGCAATTGCCAGTGACCACAAAGCAGTCTATGGAGCTTTAATTGCCACGCTGTTGGGAAGTGAAGGTGTGGCAAATGATATGTTAAATGTTTCTGGTTTTCTACATACAATATCTAACTTGATCAAACTTAGTATTCTCCTCTCTACTCACTCTCTACAACTCTCTGTCCAGACAGTAATTCATTCAGTGTTAGGACTTCTGGATTGTCATCCATCAGTGCAGCACTCATAAGATCATTATCTGAAGTCTCATTTTCTGGAAATTTTACCCATCTCTCACATACACAGGCCGGTTTCCTACTGTCTCTGAAGGATATTAATCAAGTAAGATAAAAAATACTCATATTTTTAGGTTTAAGTAAGGTTTTACATTTTAGTTCTGGTACCAATATTACCAGTTAAAATGATACTTTCTAAAGCTAGCATTCTATTTCTTTCTGTAGCTCACTTTTAAGGTAAAACTTTAATTGCACCAATGTTTATTTCATATAATGTCTGTCATTTTTATTTATAATATTTTTAAATATTATAAGTGCCCAGAGGTACTTTAATGTACATATTTTATTATGTTCATTATTGGATTTAGTCTCTATGTTTGCACTGTGCTTCAATAAGTTCTCAAGCACTGAGTGTTTTTCTCCTTTCACTTTGATAAGCACACATAAAAAGTCAGTCCAGCTTAGATCTGTGTTAGCTCCTCAACTTTTTCTGCACATCTACTACCATATTCTTCACCTTTTTCTTTAACTATTGGGCTGGTTCTGGTTGGGATAGAGCTCGTTTTCTTCCTAGTTGCTAACAGGGGGCTGTGTTTTGGATTTGTGCTGAACAGCAGGTTTTTGCTTTCCCTATTAAACTGTTCTTATCTAAATGCAGGAGTTTTCCAGCTTTTGCCTTCCCAATTCTCTCCCTGGTCCTGCTGGAAGGGAGTGAGTGAGTGTCTGTGTGGGGCTGGGCTGATCTCTGGGGTGAAGCCTTTAACAACTTCATAAAACTAGCAAAGGCAAAAAGAAAAAGGGCTCTTCATCCCTGATTCTGTGGTGTTTTTCTGCAGGAGAACACTCCTGTAGCCTTCATAGAACAATGCCTTTTCAATCTCTTCATTTGCACCATTTATTTCTCTGATGTGTCACACACAGCATATCCAAGGAAACAATCAAACTTCCCAGAAAACCTTTGCTCAGTGACTCGCCCAAAAGTCTCTTCCAGTGATCCCCTCTCCTGTTCCTCCAGAGGATACTGCAGATGCTATTGTTAGCAAGTTTCAATGAGATCACTTTCTTTATTTAAATGTTTGGTCTTTAATGCTTGTCATGTATTTGCACATAGTTCATAATAAAAGGAAACAGACTATAAACTACATTTTTTTTCCCCCATCTTCTTCAGCTTACATAAGTACTGCCATCCCATTCATCATCCTGCTTTTTGAGATCCAGTCTTTGAGCAACAAGTTCACTTACCTACGTGTGCTTCTTCATCTATAAAAACATGAAACACAGGTTTATGCTGGAAATTTTTGTTTATAGACACATTTATAAATATACAACCACTAGGTGGCACTTCGTATTTGGATTTAAAATTTGTCACTTCCAAGAGAGGTTCAGCATTTTTTAAAACTGTCTAGGCGTGCATAAAACACGAAAAAAACAACAGAGTGCTTTGAAAATGAGTCAGAAAGTCGACAGCTGGCCTAGG